AGGACGACGAGGATGCGGCAGGTTTTCTTCGGACTTTAAACCACCTGTAACTGCAGACGAAGCCAGCAAGGAGGAATCTGAGTCTGAATCAGTCCCATGGTCTAGTAGACTAGGATCCAGATGAGTGACCATTGGTCGACTTTTTCGTCGGCGTTTCCAGAGGCCAGTCTGGGGTAAATTTGCCCGCTGTTGCAAAGGCGATGAAGGAGTATTTACAGGGGACATCAAACGTGTGAATTCACTTCCATGGTCAGGTGCAAAATGAATTTCATTGCAACATAAATCGACCTTCGTATTGACGGCGGGAGCAAGATGACTACAGCCAGCTACCTGTGTGGCTGGGAAGGAGGTTACAATACCTGTGGGAGTATTATCTAGAACGACAGAAGTCGAAGACGACGAAGCCGAGAAGCACGTTGAGGCAATGGAGGATACAGACGATTGAGATGAGTAGGAACCAGTTCGCCGACGTTGCTTTGTTGCCAGAGCTGATGCCGAGAAGTGAGCACCTCTTGTGGGTATAAATGGTATACCATTTCGAAGGCCCGCTTCACTTTGCTCATTACGAGAACAATTGAAATCAATATCGTCGGATGTTAGGCTGGATATTGCAACTCGATCTGACAACCTCACATCGGTGGTTGATGCAGAGAAGGCTATTCCTGATTCCGTCAACTCGAAATCATCACTAGCCTCTTCTTCCTCTGTCTGTTGTCGTTGCTTGTATAGCTGCTCCAAGTCGTCGCATGCTAATATGCCGGTTTCAGGGATAGCATGTTCAGTATTGGATGGCCGAGATAGCAGTTCTCGTCTTGTAATATCATGAGGTCGATTTGACCTACCCAAGGCGCCCAATCCTTTACCTTTGAATCTTTCTGATTCGTTTGCAATCACGTCTTGCAGTTCTTCCTCTTCACATTCACTAGGTAGTTGATCTTCGCCCAACTCCATAAAACTGGCCTCCAGGCGAGTTAAACTTGCCTCCATGGCAGAAAGCGCCGTCTCTATAGGGTCAAGCAAATCATATGCGATCGTATTTAGCTGCGCGTCTGCATCCAGCAATCGGGTTGAATGTCTTCTGCTGCCTCTATGCGTAACATTTCCTCCTAGTTTTATACCTCGGCTACCTCCGAAAGGAGTTGTTATTTGTGTCGGACGAAGGCATTCACTATCACGACAGGCAGACAGCTGAGTTTTATGGTAGCAAGGCATCCCAGCCTGTTCAGTGGACTGTAAACTGAGTTGGCGTGGCCGAGAAGAAAGTAATCTTGTGCCCGCACAAATATCATCATTATCAGCTATATTGGAAACAAGTTTACAAGAGGCAGAAGCTGTACTAGTGGCGTTAGAAGCGACTAGAACATCTGAGACAGGCGTGGTGGCCAGAGATCCAAAGCTCAAGTCTCGGCAGGCATTAATTACTAATTAAAAAAAAGATCATATAAAGGCGAGTCGAATAAATGTGGAGTAAAACATATTCCTCATACACTAAGCAAA